TCCTTTATTTCTTATATAAACAACAAACGCCAAAATCCACAACAAGTTTCTAGTGGACCGTCTAAAGAGGTTTGCTTTGTTACATAAAATCGATGTAAGGATTTGTTGTGTATTCCGTTGGTCGATTGTTGTTGCTTATTTTTTTTTAACCAACATATATATGGCCCGGTGGCTGGTGTACCTACTCAAATAAGAGTATCGATGGGAGGGGGATTAAAGTTAAACGACTATTGGATCACAAAAAAAAATAACCGTACCTATAGCTTTATCTGTTTATCACTTCCTTTCACGCTTTAGTGGGGTAAAGTGTGGTTTTCATCCAAACTAAAACACTGAGCCACTATGCACTTTAATCTGATGTTATATTTCTCTCTCTCTCTCTGTCTTTCTCTATTTATATATTATATATGTAATAATAAACATATACATTCATAATAAATATATATTTTTATAACCCTATCTAGCTTGAATTTCGAACACCGTATTTTGGGAAATAACCTAAGATAATAATTATTGGTTCGCAGGAGAGACACCGCAGCCAGAAAACGAACTGGAACATGTATTTGTGGTGGCCGATTTTCTTGCCGGTGTGCTCATTTTTGCCACGATCGTGGGCAATATCGGCAGTATGATCAGCAACATGAATGTTGCCAGGGTAGAGTTCCAGAATCGTATGGATGGCGTTAAACAGTACATGGCCTTCCGGAGGGTTTCCAAGGAGCTAGAGGCAAGAGTTATCAGATGGTTTGCATATACCTGGGCCAACAAACAGGTACTGTTAACAAAACCTGTTTACTGACATTTTTAATGTAATAATTTATATTTAGTTGAAATCATGTGAACATAGTGTTTTTCAATAATATTTATACGTGAAATTTGAAATATTAACGCCGCAATAATTAACGACTACAACCTAATTACAAGATTTAAACGATTAGTTAGCTATTTAAAAAAAATAAATGTAGACATAATATTATAATATCTAAGCAATGACAGTAATCTAAAGAAACGAATTGTTTATGTGTTTATATGATTATGAAATAAGTATATAATTATTATATTATATTAAACATACTCATAAATTATACCTATCAATACAAGATCTAGAATAATAAAAATTCCAATAAAATTAAATTTTTTTAAATCTTAATAATCCTTGTTTAATAATTAATGTTTAAGTACCTGATACCTATATGTTACAAAATAAGTAAATTATCTCATTTTTTGTAATTACAAATTCCACTAATAATATTTGATGGATTATTCATGTTCTTATAATATATTCAAAATACACTTTTAACAAAATATTTTTTCAACTTCACCTTTTTTTTTACGTTAAATTTTTGATCTTATAGGACTTATAGTATAAGTAGTTACTTTGACCCAACACTGAATTGAAATCATGAAATCATATTTTTGTCAAAGAAAAATGTTCTCTTACCAAATCAGATTTACAGAAATACTAAAAGCAAATGTGATGAGTAATAATATCCATTAATCTGATAGTAAAAAACACATATAAATATAATATTATATAGGTATCTCTTTACACGGTGTGTTTCTTCTTATAGATTACACAAAATATCTTTGTTCAGTGACCTCGGATTAAAATAGAACATTTTGGAGAAAATAGGTAATACTATAATATACAACTAATATTTTCTGACGTTTTTTAGTTTAATCGTGGTTTTGCGTATTTCTAACATTATATAAATTCGTAATTCAGTCAATTATGTTTTTAGAACTATAGTTAAAGAATCAAAAAAATATAAATAACTTGGGTTTATCCAAATCTTGTGTTAAAAATACGTATTTAACTTAAAAATTCGTTAAGTAACGAATAACTTTTAAAAATTATATTTTCATAGTAGTGACTTAACTATTATGTACAAAGTTCAATATCTTATTAGGTATTATTATATCATATATATATATATATATATATCATCATATCAAAATATATTATAATATTAACATATGAAATTCACCAGAATTATACACAGGTATCTTATTAGTTATTATCATACTTTGTAACATTTTGAGAAAATGGATCACACAACAGCAATGTACCCAAAAAGCCTATCTAGAACGCCGTGTTACAATAATATTTTTATTTTTCAATACTTTATTATGTTGACAAAACAATATTATTTATACCATATTTATCAGATACTATTACATCACACAACAACAATATACTTATAAAAATTAATTTAYATTATTCCCCTTTGGTGTCATATTTGTATAAATTATACAACTATCAAACTTCTAAGTTTAAATGTACCTATCTATATTTAAATAACATATATTAAGTAAACAATAATTATTAAAATTATAAAAAACATTTATATGAGAATATTTTTGCATACAATTATATAAATATATATATAATATAATATACAATTTATTAATCTTTATTCGAAACGATTAAAAAAAAAAAATGCACTGCTAAATGTGTAGTTGGGTTCTTTTTTAATCACACAGACGCATAATTCGTGGCATAGTAAAGTTAATCATGCCATTCGCTTAGAATTGATATAAATTAAACTCACGTAGACATGAAGTAAATATATATGTATTTACTTATATATTGTATATACATAATATTATGAACCTACAGATTGAATGCAAGTACATTAATTTAGCAACTCAATTAACACGAGTTTAGAGTTCAATATTTAATCTAATAATTTAGAACTGCCAGTCGATTATCTCGCTTCACCAGCCACATTAAAATAAAAGTTGATTTACTAATCATTAAATTCCAATAAACGTATTAATCTAACTAACATAATTATAATTTATCGAACAATTAGTTTGCTCATATTAAAAATAAATTAAATGTTTATTAATCATCATTATTAAAAAATGTGTATTTCAAGTTGACTTGGATGTTCCGCGCTATAATATATACATCACCATAAATATCTTATACATTTTTAATTTGATACTTATTGTTGTTTCATTCCAAGTTGAGCTTCTCAAAAAATCTAAGAACACAAAAATCATTAAAAAACGAAGATTCCTATTTAGACATGACTACATGTCTAGATTATCATACTAGGTACATATACAACATTATAAAATAATTAAATTTATTGTTTTATGCTCAGTTTTAATTTTTAAAACTACGAAATCTTTGTTCTTAAATTATCTCTTGATAAGTATTTCATACATTAGATAATACAAAAAAATCTTTGATACCTAATGTTTGTGCTCTTTTAATCAACTTTGAGTTTTTAACTTAAAATGATATTTTAAGAGCTTCAATTTTTTAATAAGCAATGTCTGCGGAAATACGACATAATTCTAGGACTATTCTAAACATAGCGCTATGAATATATTTTTATCAAGAATAAGTATCTATGAAATAGGCTATTCGCAGTGAAAAATTTTGTAGTATATATATAAACTACATGCTGCCTAGTTACTAAAATATCTATGTCCCTCGAAAAAATAATTTAAGTTTAATAAATTTATATATATATATATATATAAGATACCTACGAGAAGGATTTCTTTTTACAGTGTATAGAAAAAAGTATAATCGGTTAATAGAGTTTTAATTACCTCATATTAATCACTGAAGAATGATAAATTATAATCATTCTGTATATCAAACAAACTTCGTAKTCAAGCCTAAAAATAAATGTACAAACTTTAATTAATGAATATTAGACTAATTCAAATTTATTTAATTATAAGTATACAATTATTATTATTTTATATATTTTTTTTGACAAATATAATAAATATTAACAATAAATAAATATTATAAGTAGATAGTCGGTTTTAAATACTTTAATTAATAACACCATATTTTGCAAAGAATAATATTTATAACTTAGGTCTTAGGTTTGATTAATATTTTACCGACAAGTTTTTGGAAAAGTAATTAACTWTGGTAATTTTTAATAATCTCAAATATTTTTTTTAAACTCAAAATCAATGTAAGACTTTTTTACAATATTTAATCGACACATCACTTTCTAAWAAGATTTTTTAAACATTAATCTTCCTTACACTTGACTTTTAAAGTAATAAGGGAGAAATTGAATTTAATTAAAATAGAAAAATATATTTCTTCRAGAAAATTATATTGTATCACACAATATATTTATTTATTGGTACTGGGTTTTTAAAATAGTTATTCACTATTCACAGTTCTATAATTGTTAATTTTATTCCTAAATCATAACTCGTAACTAATTTTTTATAAAAGCACTTGTAAAAAATACATACACATAATATATTAGTTATGTATAAACTATTTATTCATGTATGATTACAAGTTATATTAAGATCTAAATTTTGAAAATATCTTAATGAACTTATAATWAATTAATTATACRATAGTATTTTTTACAATAAATATTATTATTATTATTATTACAAGTAATTAAACATATGATATACGWATCGCATTATATACAGTTTAACGAAAAACAAAACTATTACATACCCAAGAACTCATCCGGCCCGTAGTGAGACCATAAGAACCAATACTTTTGGACCGAAAATTAATTAAWTACACAAGGGTTGTCACCACTGAACATTGTGAACGGATTTCTATCATTCAGTGACCGTATTCTGTCAGTTTTTCTTAAATTTCTTGGTAATTTTTTCTCACAGAATGAAAGTAGCTCCAAAAATAAATTATTCTATGTATATGAYGCTTCTACTACGAAGTATAATAATCGTTCATTTGGAAATCGAATTCYTGCAGCTGTTGGTAAACTCTAGAGAAGTTTATTTTTCGTTTTTCCGCATTTTCTAGAATTAAACGTAGGCGTGTGGTATACTGATTAACTACGCATAGGAACAGTGTTGAAGTGTTACCATCACTGCCGTTTTTCCTAAATGTTTGAACTTTGGATATGAATATTAAATAAATTGTGTGAATTTTCAACAATAAAAATTTTTTTAATTTTTTGCCACTTAAAATTTGAATATCAAGCGCTCATATAGGTTAAAGTTAATTTTTATTTAATCTCAATATTATACTATGATGAACAACCATATATTAAATTTTCAATCTTTTTGACCATACATAACATTTTTMAAAGACATTTAAATTTAAAAAAGTGGGTAAGTTGTGGATGTCGCTCTGCTGTACAGTAGGTAACAAGTGGGTTACTGTAATGGATGGAATTAAATTTGAATCCAATGATATTATATCATTGTATACGAAAAATGATTCTGAGCGGAGACAGTTTATCTGTGTAGGATATATTATAGATTATCAAAAATTTTCAAATCCTCGATTTAAAAAGAAAAACTTTTATGAATTTCTAGCTTAAAATAATTTCTGTATACTCGTGATTTTAACATAATATGTTGTCAAAACTCAAACTTTGAATGCTTAAAAAAAAAATTGTGACTATGTATTCCTTTTATTTTGCAACTGCTATTGTAAAAATATGTTAGGAGCCTTGTATTMAATTTTCAAATCTTAGAATTAAAAAGGAAAACTTTTATGAATTTCTATCTAAGATAATTTGAACATTTCCGTAATTTTTACGTATTTAGTCAAAATTTGAACTTTAAATGCATATAAAAAAAAATGGTGTCTATGTATTTTTATTATTTTTAACTGCTATTGTAACAATGTGTTAGGTACCTTGAATTAAATTTTCAAGCTTTTCTACCCAACAAATAAATTTTTATCGATATTTTAATTTTAAAAAACTAATAATGATCGAAAATTGCATATGCCTATAAGTATTTCAACTTAAGTCAAATTTTTTTGAAAATTGCATAGTGGATAGAATA